GGTCGGGTGGTGAGGGAAAGTTAACAGAAATTTGAATATGACTAATAAAAAGAAAGTATATGTATTTATATTAAAAAAAAAAATAAATAAAAATTTATACGTAAGTTATTGAAATCTACATGTGTAAAAATTAGATTTATTTAAAAAAAAAAAAAAAAATTGAAAAAAACAAAATTTTTTCCTTACAATTTGGTATAAAAGTTTTAAGCAAAGCAAATTAGTTATTTTATAGCTTCTGAAAGCTTTTGCGATACATGCTGCGTGATTTGGGAGAGATATTAAAAACTACAAACATATTTAAATTTATAAGAAATAATTATTGTAAAAAAAAATAAAGTAAAAAAAATATATTGTAAAAGATAAATATAACAATTAAAATAAGTAATTAATTTTGAAGATATTAAGAACTTTTCGACCGTTAGAAGTAACAAATACATAATTAAATATTTACATAAAATGTTTTTAAAAATTTTCTATATCAGTTTCATTACGAAAATATTTGACAAAAAAAATTTAGTATGCATTTTTTGAATTACAAAATTTGAAGTTTTTTTCTTAGCGACTCTCTCAATGTTTTCTTACACATTGTATTTTATTTTGATTTCAATATTAGAGATTTATTTAGAAATAATTATTTTTTTCTAATTTGCTTCTTTGAAAAATTAGATTTTAAAATTTTTTTAGATGTTCAAAAAATTGAATATTTTTAAAAAATATTTTTTTTTTAATTTTAAATTTAAATTTTTAAATTTTTTTAATTTTAAATTTTTTATTTCTAGTAATTATTAAAACATGAAAATAAAAATTATATTTCGTCGTTATTTTTTTAATTTAAATTACAAAATTTATACGTCTATATTTCTGTGTAACTTATAATTTTCCTAATTTAATTTTAATTATAAAAAAATTTTAAAGGAGTATTCACCTTTTGTCTAATATACAATTTTAAAACCTTTACCTCATTATTTAAATATTATTTTGAAATTTTTAATTATTATTTATTTTAGAGCCAAATAAAATGTGTTAATTATAAAACACATTTTCAGATATTAATATTTTGATTTTAAGCTTGATATTATTTAAAAAAAAAATTTTTTGAATCTTAGTAAATTCGAAATAGGTTTTTAAATATACATAAATATATATAACGTTGATAATATAGCGTTTTTTGCCAGATTCCTTTTACACAATTTTTTTCCTTTTTTTTTTTTTTTTTTTTTTTTTTTTTTTTTTTTTTTTTTGATTAAGATACGGTTATAATTTTTATTAAAATTTTTTAAGTTAATATGGGAACTAACTTCATTGCGTTTAAGCACAAGGAACCCACAAAAATAGAAAAATAGTTGAACATAAAAATTCCACAATTCGAAATTATTTTAATAAACTAGATGAAATATGCGCACTGAATTTGCACAACGCAACAAAATGCCTCGAAAGATTGCTTGTGCTGCTGCTGGCTGGGACCATAACTCAGTACCCAAACTCAGCAAACTTCATCGAATTAGATTCGGAGAAGAAATTCATATGCGATAACCAAAATTTATTTATGCATGTATCCGTATGTATGTATTGAGTGTACATACATATGAGTGTGTGTGTGTGTTTGTGTATGTGTGTATGAGCCCAACCTCACTTGTCTGCGTCGCCTTAACGCTAACAAATCATAAATCTTCGCCACATATCCCAAAAGCTGAGTTCAGAGCAGTGCAAAACAAAGTGCTTGCTTGTAGTTGTATATGTGTGTGTGCATGTGTGTGTGCCCGAGAGACACTGCCAACTAATAAGACATTTCAAAAGTCACTTGAAGACAGTAACATCAACATAAGATTGCAAGAAAAAATCCAAAGCAAAAACAAAAAAAAAAAAAACGCCAAGAGAGAAATGATGTCAAAACCACAATGGCAAAATGCTTCAGACACGCACATACATGCATATATACATGCATCATTTACTTAAGCATATACATATAAGGCCATGTGTGTGTATGTGTGTGCATGCCTTGCTGTCAGTGTAACAGCTTGAGCCTTTCATTATTATCATGCCATGACAGCCACTGTGCGTATGTGTATGTGTGTGGGACTGTAAAGTGAAGTGGTCAGTTCGTTGGCAAGTTTTGCACCTCAAAGTATGCAACATAAAATAATGTGTGAGGTTGAGTCCTTGCCCAGTTTGAGGGTCAGTTTCAAGTGAAATATGTCAACATTGTAGCTGGCGCACCTCATTACTGACACACACCCACATATACACACACACACACTCACACACAAGCACACACATATATACATACACACATATATACAGCGACAAATGCTGCTCAAAAGCTAAACAACTGACTGTTGTAAGCACTGAAATAATATTTTTTTTTTTTGGTGTTGATGTTGTTATTGTAAGCAGTTAGTTGCGGAATCGGTTGACCGAGTTCAGTGCTTTTAACTAGTTTCGGTTACAGTTTATTCAATTTCATTTAATTGAATTTATAAAAGGGAAAAATTTTATTTTATCTTATTTTTTTTGCTTCGTTTTTCGCTTTTATTCGTCTGCTGTCTCAGAATAAGCAAATAAATTTAGCAAAATGATGTGCACATGGCTTTTTAATTAAATTGAAATGTGGCAAAATTTTAGTGGTTTTTTATATACACATATGCATATGCGCACATGAAATTGCTATAGAATTACACAAATCGGCTGCATAACAATGTCGACAGCAGTTAGACCATAAATGGAAAATAAATTTGTATCGGAAAAATGTATGTGTATGTGTATAAGCGAGTATTTTGAAATGAAATGTTTGCGCATTGCGAAAAATAAAAATTCTTATGTATATATATATATATATATATATATATATATATATTATATATATATAAATATATATATCAATAATCAAATATTATTATTTTTTTTATGATAATTAGTAAATTGTGATGCCAAATTTCTTGGGACAAAATTTGAAATATCGCATAAAATTTGAAACGAATTTTGTGGTTGGAGATTTGTTACTATGAAAACAAAACAATCAAATAAATTAATTAATTGCAATAAAATATTTTTACTGTAACAAAATATGATAATTTTCCCTTAAAAGCCTTGCTCTTTAAAAAAAGAATTAAAATTTGAAAAAAAAGGAAAAAATAGGGAAAAGATATTGAAAAAGCAATAAGTAAATAAATAAAAATTATTTAAATAAATTGACAAAATTTAAGAAAGAATTAAGTTATTTTATTTTCATTTTAAAAAATTAAATTAATAAAAAAATTTTAAAAATTATCTAAAAAAATTTAAATTACTATATATAATATTATATGTTATATTGTATATAGTGTATTGGCGCTCTGCATCTGCTGAATGAATTTTCAGCCGACCTCCTCCTCCGATTTTTGGTATGTATTTTCATGGCGGGAACTACAGTCGTCTCCGAATAGCTGTTGGATTTCTATGAGGAGCCTTTATTTCGCATCAGAAATATATTTCCCCTCAGCCAAATTCTGCTCCAGCTAAATCATTTGCCGTACACATAAATAGATGGTAATCACCAGTGGAGAGGTTCGAACTATAAGGTGCATTCAGACCAACCTCCCAACCAAGCTCTCGGCGATTCTGGCGAGTCGCTAGTCATGTGTGTGGTTTGGGGTTGTACTGATGATATCCAATTCACCTCCTTTTGGCCACAGCAGGATTCACCTGTGAAGTTACTTCCCACTGACGGTCCAATTGCTGACAGCACAGGTCCGACGTAGCACCCGTTGGCAAGAGTGATTCCGCGTTGGATTTCAAAGCTGGCATTGCTGTTGGTGTCATATGGTTGAGGAAAACGTTCCAACTTTGAAAGCCTTCGACCAGTACCCGCTGGTGCAAGGAGAAAGAAGAAAGTAAGGTAAAGGCGCACACTTTGAAAGATCAGATGGAGAAAAGCATGTTTGCGAGGCGAAGAAACGTCTGGCATGTTAAGGAACTCGGCTAAAATCGAGTATGTGATACCTACGTCCACTGAAGGGAAGAAGAAGAAAGACGTTGCTCTCTGTATATTCAATGAAGTAATCTACTGTGAGCTTCTTACAGGAAATCGTACCATTTTTGGGAATGTCTACCGCCTTCAACTACCGAAATTAGACAAAGAGATCATGAAAAAGCACCCTGAATTGACTAATCTCAAGGGCGCTTTCTTCCACTATGAGGCTTCACAGGCTTACTTTTTTTTGGTTAATCAGTAAAAATAATAATTAGCAGAACTGAAGTCTAAAAAAAATTTAAAGTTTGAAATAAAAAGGAAAAAAATTAAAATATTTTTACCTCGAAAAAAGAAAGATTGTGCTGAAACAAAATTTTTTTTAAATTTAAAAGCAAAATGATTTTATTGTGATTTTTTTATAAAATTTTTTTAATTTTTTTCTATAATTTTTATTATATGTAAATTAAAAAAAAAATTTATATAAAATTTTTAAAGAAAAATATTGTAGATTTTTTTTGATTAAAGCACTCACACAACAGCACACACACACACGCACACACCAAACACTACTTCAGTCAAATCTCATTAAGACTAAATGACATTTAATATACACGGAACCGATTCGTTTCTCACCAACCCTAAGTCGAACACTCTCCAGCGCTCTCTTAGCTTTATATGTAACTAATGACTCTCAAAATGATACTGAAGGATCTTTGTGCCCTCAACTCGGCACAACAGCTGCACACTCTATACACGCCAACCACTCACACGCGTATCACATCGCCTGGCGTTGACTTCGGCTTGGTTGGCAACTCACTGAGGCTGCCCGAGAGTGAGTCGCGCTCGTTGTCGCTGTCTAAACCAGCGAGCGTGCTGCTCGTTGCCGTCGTTGTGGATGCGTTTCCAGTTGCTGACGTCGCTGATACTGTGATGCCACTGATTCCGCCACCGCCACCGCCCATGTTGTCGTCCAACATATATGTCGTCGTTGCCGTCGCCGTGGACGCCGTCTCGTCACTAGCCTTGTCGCTGAGCAACAGGTTGAGCGGTCACCTCAGCGATTCTCGTCACATGAAAACATCGCCTGCGCCGACGCCGCTACTGCCACCAATTATGCCACCCACCTTACGTGGTGTCGTCGGCACACCGTGTGGACAATGCGTCGCTGTGCTGGCATTTGATGTACTCACACCAGTTGACGCTGTCACGTTCATCGCTTTCGACTCGTCCTCGAAGGTGACCATCTTCTCACGTGGCTTCATCATAATCTGCATCTGCTGCGGTGGCGGTGGTTGACCAGTGCAGATTAACGTCTGTGGCGGGCCAAGCTGTAGGCCATGCGGCAGACCGTTGCCACCCATACCAGGCATTCCAGTCATGCCAGTCATGCCACCCATGCCACCGTGTTGTATGGTGGGTGAGTAACGACGTGGTGGTGGCAGCGCCAAGTCGCCCACGCCCGACAAATTAAACTCACTTATGCTGCGCGGCACGAAGTACTCCATGTGGTGTTCGGGTATGCCAGTGGAGCGCCGTATGGGCGTGTTGCGTTGAAAAGCCGAGCCAGCCGAACGGCGCGGTAACGAGCTGTACTGGGTAAGCGTATGCGCCGGACCGAAAAACATGGTCTGATGATGACCAAGTGTGTTGCCGCCAAAGCCAACGAGCGGTGTGGGCACGTTAGTGCTGCCATTATTGCCGCCAGTACCGCCGCCCATGGCCAATAACTCGGCGGCCGGTCGTTGTCAGGAAGATTTCGGCGTAACCGCGACTGAGACGAGCGCAACATCCTCACCCTGCGGCATTACGTGGTCCTGAACGCTGAACTTGCGCAGCCACATGACAATCTCTGTCTGTATAAGGCTGAAGCACATGGCCACCACCGCCATGCCGACCAATATATATGCGGAGGCTAGGTACAGTGTGAGATTGCCGGTGGGCGCCAACTCGCCAAAACCGATGGTGCCCAGAGAAGTGAAGCAGAAGTACAGCGCCTCCAAAACTGTCCAGTTTTGTAATTTATGAAAGAGCACCGCGCCCGAGGTGACATAGCAGACGAGGACCATTACACATATGGAAATTGGCACGCTGGGGCTGTGTGAGGAGGCATGGCCACCCATACCCAGCGCGCCACTGTGATGATAAGCGTGCTTGGGCAAACCGTAGTGATGTACGGGATGTAGTTTCCCACTCCCACCGCCGCCGCTGCTACTGTGATGATAATGTTTGTTCGTTCCCTTGCCACTGTCATTTGGTGGTAATTTACCGTTGCCGCTATTGGAGCCTGCACCTCCACTACCTCCATTGCCAGCGCCAGAGCCATTGCTGACGGCGCTTTTTGAACGCGCTTTGCGAAAGAGGCAACGCATGCCGGCTGAGAGGCCCTCACCCATGGCCGATAGGTAGAGCAACACGATGGGTATGCCGAAAAGCGCGTAGAAGAGGGCAGCAATGCGGCCCCACTGCGTACGGGGCGAGATACCGCCGTAACCTGCAAAGAAATAGAAGGGAAATGTTCGTTAAAATTGACTGATTTTTAGTATGAAATTCTGATGTTAAAATTTTTATGAAAATTGCGTTTAAATTGGAAAAGTTTGTATTTTTAATTTTTAATCGCCCTTCTACTGAGAAAGCCCTGAAAAGATTACTTAAGAATGGCTTAAGCAGCTTACTTATTTCAGTATTGAACTAAGTATCCTCTGGGTAGCCAAGGAATATCAGTTTCGAGCTAAACTAAAGTCGAAATTCGAGCCCCGTGTTGAGTTTGTAGTACCGGGAAAATTCATCAGGCTAGAAAAACCCTAAACCAAATCGATCTTATTGTGAAGGCGGACAGTAGGTCTCCAGTGTTTTAGTCGTACGTCCGACTCGACTACGTACTCACCTATGAGCAGCTAAAAATGCCAATCAACGAACACAGAGAAGCTTCGACTGCCATTGCGGATTAGGGGCTCAAGAATTTGTCAGTGGTAGGGCATGCCGGTCGTAAGAGGCGACAAAAATCCGAATTTCCCACGACATTTAGGTCTTTATACTAGAGCGATCTGGATTTTCTTCCGGCCAAGGACTGTCCATCCAGCCACGTTCTTCAAAAACGGCTTTGGCCAATATTTGCGGATACAGCAACAACAACATCAACATTAATTAGAAGACTCGGCTTTGTAAAGGTACAATCATAACACACCCCCGAACAATTTTCTACTCGACTTGCACACCTACTCTTTGGAAGCACTCAGCAGTAACTCGGTATAGAGGAACTGTGTATTGATATTTCAAGCTTCCCACGTACAGCCACTAACGAGACTATTGGTTTTCGATAAGGTCAAAAGAGGAGCTGGTATGATAGGTATTGCCATGTCATAGTAGAGACAAAAAAGACTGCCTACCTGCTTCCGTCACCGCGACCGAGCCCAACTCACGCTGTGTGGATATAGTTGAAGAAGAAAATGAGACGAATTTTCAGCTAGGGAAAGCAACGAACCGAAATACGTAAGCATAAAGTGCTCGAAAGACTGATCAACTGGAGTAATGCATGAAAATTCTACGAAAGAATGCAGGGACTCTCAACAGGTTTCCAAACCGAAAGTGTTGATTGGAAGGGACATTTCACCTGCCTGCTTAATGGCAATGAAAATGGAACAACAGTAAGTGATGATTGAAGAGGCGTTGCAAATACCCGACCATCACGGTAACCAAACAAATGACTAAGCGACGAAAACCAGTGGCTCACCAGCTGAGCTATTCTAGTACGACGGCAAAGGACTGACAAGACACATACCAATTTATTTGCACATTATGATCGGATGATCAAAAAAAGCTTGCCCGACAATTGGGTGCAATGTGTGCTCTTCGCAATTCACAAAATAATCTCCATAATCTCTTATAATCTAATCCAATAATCGTAGAATTGGCTTGATCATCGCTATCGCACTATGGGTTTTATGGAGCGAGTGATTGGACCTTTTCAATATGACCTTATATATATAAAATGCTGGCTATATCATGTCAACGGATTGGATAAAAGCATTCCAGCTGTGAAAACATTCGATACAACACACGCCGGGGGAAGCAGAGGAACACAGAGGAGGTTGGAAATATCAGGTTGAGAATGACCTGACTTCACTTAATCTCTCTAAACAGTACCTAATGACGACTGACTGACTAGTGGCTATTGTTGACTCTCGTCTCAGTTATAATCACTTAAGCGGTGTGTACACCAATGAGGAGTCTTCTTCTTAAGTTTAACTTTATTATTTTTATAGCTCAAAAAATGGAAATTTTAAACTGTTTTTTTTTTTTTTTTTTTTTTTTGCTATGAATATTCAAAAGTTCCCCAAATTTTTTAAAACAGTTTTGAAAATTTTAGAAACAATTTTGGAATGAATTTTAAAATTAATTTTTCTTTGCAAAATTTAAAAATGATTTCAATTTTTTGTAGATAAATTTGGAAATATTTATTTCCTAAAAATCACTTTACAATGTAGAACATTATTTGGTGTTCATCAATTTCATTTTTTAATTTTTTTTTTTTAATAAAATTTTACATTTTGCCTATTGGAAAGGATTTTGAATTATCTTTAAATTTTTAAAAAAATTTATGAAAAATTTTAAAACATTTAATATTATTTATAATAAATTAATTACGCACGTCTCAAAAATTTAACTTTTGGTTCATTTTTGTGAATTTTAGACGCTTTTTTTAAATACACTTTTCCTGCCTACTTTAATTTCTACAAATATAAATAAATTTTCAATACTTTTCGTTGTCTGAAAAAAAAACGAAAATGGAATTTATTAAAAAAGAGCATTTACATAAATACTATTCATCGAGAGGTAAAAAAAAAAATAAATTCATATTTTAATACGAATTAATTTAATAATAATAAAAATTTGCAAAAATATTAAAATCATATTTCAACAAAATATAAACAAAATATTAAAATAATATATGAATTCCGATATGAAATTCATATTTGATTTTACATATTATTTCAATATTTTGTTTAACTTTGATTTAATATTTTTGGACGAATACTATTTATAAAAATGCTCTTTACTAATAAATTACTTGAGGTTATAATTTTTAAAATTAAAAAAAAAATTTTTTGCATCAAATTTTCATTCACATTTTAGATTTAATTTTTGTTTACCACAAACTTTTTTCAAATAAAAAAAATATTTTTTTTAAATATTATATGTAGTAAATATTAAGAAAAGGAGATTTGAATTTTTCTGCTATTTTTTTAAGAATTCGATAACAACATTTGTTTAGCTTTTCCCGAAACTTCGAAATTTTCCGCTTAACATGCGCCCTTGCGCTCAACGAGTTTCCGCTGAAATTTACGCACAACAATGTGTCCAAATCATAGCAACCGTTATATGAGAAGTTTACAAAATTTTCATTAGAATTTTGAGTTGGCCTCAAAATAAAGTGAAGTCATACGTGACCGAGAAGTAAAAAGAAAGAAAGGCGGGAACATAGGAATATTTCCTAGTACAGCAAACTTCGGGGCCAATGCTGTTATGCATGTTAACGGTATTTAGTGGTAATTCAGTTTAAAAGCAACACATCTATAGGCACATACACACATACATACGTACATACATATGTACATACAACCGCATGTATGTTGATATATATAATTAAGTATTAGCATAAGAGCTAATGAAGGGACCGGATATGCATGCATACACACTTACATACATGTGCGCATAGTAGTAGTGGAACGTGCGGTCACAGCCTCGGGGCGCACGTGCGATGACAACAGTTGCGTTGACACATACATACATACATACAAATATATACACATCTATGCAGAAATAGTGCGAGCTGTTCTAAAGTGTCGGCATATGTCGGGCAGCGAAAAGTTTCCACATATACATATATGCATAGATAGTAACACACACACACACATACACACAAGCACAGGCAGTTAAATTGAGCTTAACACTTGGTTCTCTCTATCTCTCTCTGTCTTTATCTATGCTGATTGCCCCATGGCGTGCTCATCAGTAACTTTGTGGCAACACTTGACCGACGTAAAATTCCCAGCCGAAATTTACACATTTACAAATACCATACATACATACCACATACCATCATACATACAAACATACATAGACTCAACAAATTCATACACATGAACACATAGGTGTATTTAAGATCATTGCCTACGTCTGGATGTGTGTGTGCGTGTGTGTCTTTGTATATGATCCGCTCCGGTGGCTAAATTACGGTAAAGTATGGTATTTAGTGTTGAAGTTGCCTAAGTGGCGGACAACTCGCTAGCAGCTAAGGAAATATTATATATATTGTATGTACGCATGTATGTAAATATGTATGCCTGTGGCTGTTTAGTAAGCCTAAAAGGGTATTTTAGTTACTTAGATGCCCGCAGAGACAAATAAATGCCACACACTCACTCACTCACTCATGCTTACATATGTACATACGTGTATGTATGTAATTGCTCACCAACACATACCAAGTTAAGTACGTTCATGCATTAAGTATGTGGAATTTGCACGTCATGTCATGCCATGTACGTATTTATGTGTCTATATTGGCATAACAAGTAAAGCTGCAGACGAACTGCGGTGACCACAAATGAGCTGCTACTAATGGCCCTGTAGGAATGTGGTGGTGAAAATTACAGGGTTCCCTTTTTGCGTTGTCACATTATCTGGAAAATCTGAAGCCTTTGTATGCAATTGTCTGTTTTGAAGCCTGAACTCGCTATTAAAAGTTAATTCTCAGGCAGCAGACTTCCACGCCGCCCCCCCCCCCCCACATCAATTCGTTGAGAAGTTCGGTGCGGTTTTTCTTCAATGGTTTTGTTCTGTTCAATGCTGCCGCGAAGGATTGTTGGTGAAGAGATGGCCATTTCAGCGTCAGCTCAGTGCTGTTAATATTCGAGCCGCAGGCTCAAGCCGAATTACGTGCTTGCTTTATCCCCAAGGGCTGTTCCGTTGCGATAGTTCGTACTGCTGCTACAGAGGTCGATAAGTGTCGCGTGATCACCAATTTCTAGCTGCTTAGCTTAGTAAATAGTTATGTAGGCGAAAGGCAATCTCTTGCCGATTGTGGCACTGAGGCAATATAATACTGCCGATGCTTTCTGCTTTCGATGCTCATCGTTTACCTTCCTGGGCAATTTCCTACCTAGCGTTGTTCTCAAGCATTTCAAATTTTCTGTCTTACTGAAATTTTCGTCAAGATCAGTTCTGGTGGCCCACCTCATCAGTTGTCATTGTTCAAGCCTACTCACCATACAGCAGGACGGGAATCATAGGCGACTTGAGGGGTTTGATTTCTATCCGCCGAGAGAAGACTTTATTTTTCAATTGCCTGCTCAGTCCAAAGTAGCATCTGTTCGAGAGACTAATTTTGGGTATTGATGCTTGTTCTAAGATAAAAAAGAGGGTCAGCTTATCTGAGATCCACCTGTGTATGGACTTAGCTCATAAAATTTATGGAAAGGAATAAAACAA